GTGTGTGTGTGTGTGTGTGTGTGTGTGTGTGTGTGTGTGTGTGTGTGTATACTGTATATGAGGAACGAACAATTGGCTTCACAGGAAACTACTGGCAAAGGAGTAAAGGAAAGTACCAACGCGGATTTCGGGTGTGGACCGTGCAACGTCCGGTATGCATGCCAGAAAAGGTTGAAGCGCTGCCAACTGCAATGAATCGCATTCCTGACTATGAACCAGAGACAGGCCAAAAAAAATCCGCCAGGTAGGAATTCCCAGGATATGTAATCAGTGTGTATTAAAGAGGCTGATCCACACCTTGAGCAGGAGGTGATCTGTGTGGTGAGTAACATGACGCAAGAGATGATGATAAGCTGTGGTGGTGGTGGAGTGGGAGGGGGTGGGGGTGGAGGATGGGGTGGGGTGGATGTGGGTGGAGGATGGGTGGTGGAGTGGGATGGGGTGGGATGGAGATGGCATATGCTGGTAGGAGTTATGGGGGGGGGGGAATAAAATAAGTATATTTACCATAGTTCACCCTCACTACCACTCGACCTCTCCCTCCATACAAAACCTACAACTCTTCAAATGACTAACTGGTATACAGGAACCTAACCTAACCTAACCTAACCTAAGATTAACATTACCATCATATACAGTACTACTTTCTCCCTGTACTATACAACCCTCCCTCTACATCTCACTCACCTGTAACTCTTCAGACGACAGGTACGGAGACACCTTTACCTACCATACAATTAGCGTTAGTCTCCTTTATACATGTTATTCATTCTACCTGACCTGAACCTCTTCAAATGAAGGGCACATCTCGAGGTAAGAAACTGAGGTATGTGGACGGTGGATAGACAGACAGACAGACAGACAGACAGACAGACAGACAGACAGATAGACAGACAGACAGACAGACAGACAGACAAGTAACTATGAGTGTCGTGGACGGTTGTGGTAGTTATAGTCATAGATGGTGATTAGAGAGAGAGAGAGAGAGAAATAAAACTAAATACCCACCATCGTCGTCAACGCTACATCAACCATGCCCCCCAAGAAACTTCCAGGTGAAGCTTCCAGGTGAGGCTTCCAGGAGCTTCACTTAACTACCTAAGCCTCTCTTACCTGACTTTCCGAAAACCTCCAAGCTTCGTACGATCAAATTTTTCTCGTAAGTTGAGATAATAAGATCGTACGTCAGCCGCTGCGTTAAGGCAAAATACGAAAATTGACGTCCAAATAAGGCTTTTAAATTACCCTAAGACTCGTTATACTAATTAGATACGATAATTTAGCTCCACTTTAGAAGAAAAAAAAATCGTGTTATAGTCTTCTTGTTAGAGAGAGAGAGAGAGAGAGAGAGAGAGAGAGATTCATTTTCTAGATAAACCAACGACTGTGTGTGTGTGTGTGTGTGTGTGTGTGTGTGTGTGAAAGTTGTTTCTATGGACGGTATATTGTACACTTTTATTTACGGTACACAAAAAATGGAAAATCCGCTTAATTACTTGAAAAAAAAAATATATAAAAAATACACAAATTCTTCTCATCCAACAACTCTTTTCACAATTAACTGCGGAGACTACCAGGCTATTCCACAAGTGACGCTTCAATAGCAACTGCCCTTTTTGTCCACCAGTACAGAGAACTCTAAATAAAAACAGAAAACTAAAAAAAAATTGCACAAATTTTCCGATGGTAAAAAAACAGCAATTTTGACTTTCGTTTATGTTACGGCGCGAAAAATAGATTTACATGGGGAGAGAAGTAGGGGGGGTAGGAGAGAGGGAGGGGGGCTGTGGGTAGAAGAGAGAGGGGGCAGGGGGGGCTGTGGGTAGGAGAGAGAGTAAGAGATTTTTTGGGGGGGTTATTTTGAGTGTGTATGACTAATATTAATGATAATAATAATAATAATAATAATAATAATAATAATAATAATAATAATAATAATAATAATAATAATAATAATAATAATAATAATAATAATAATAATCAAAGTCGCTAAAACGAATAAAAAAAATGAATATATTATAAGACAGAAAGACAGAGAGACAAACTAAAAGACAGATAAACATACAACCAAATAGAATAGATAAAGAGACAGATAGACAGAGAGATAGACAGACAAACCCCTTGCCTCTCTCCACAAAGTTAATTAATGCAACTGGGCTGTTGTGGTAGTTTGTTGCAACATTTTACTGCAACAATTTATGACCTGCAGTGTTGACCTCGACCCAAACAGCATTATTTATCTTCGGTAACAAAAGATACAAGGTGGATAAATGTATTGAGAGAGAGAGAGAGAGAGAGAGAGAGAGAGAGAGAGAGAGAGAGAGAGAGAGAGAGAGAGAGAGAGAGAGAGAGAGAAACACGACAGAAAGTTAGAGAAAGACAAACGAAAAAGAAAGATATATACAAAAAAAAAAATAATAATAAAAATAAAAAAATAAAAACCAGAAACACCTAAAAAATAAAAAAACTGTCTGACTTAGTCCTAATAGGTTCTAGTACTAATAGGTTCTAGTACTAATAGGTTCTAGTCCTAATAGGTTCTAGTCCTAATAGGTTCTAGTCCTAATAGGTTCTAGTTTTAATAGGTTCTAGTCCTAAGAGGTTCTAGTTTTAATAGACATAAACCTATAACTCTTTGGATTGTCGTCCAGTTCTTACGAATCTGGATCGAAATAGAACCCAGGATAGATAAATAGATAGATAGATAGATAGATAGATAGATAGACACTGCAGATAGATAGATAGATAGATAGACACTGTAGATAGATAGATAGATAGACACTGTAGATAGATAGATAGATAGACATAGATAGATAGATAGATACATAGACACTAGATAGATAGATAGATAGATAGACACTGTAGATAGATAGATAGATAGATAGATAGATAGATAGACACTGTAGATAGATAGATAGATAGATAGATAGATAGATATACAGAGACAGACAGACAGACAGACAGATACAATATATAGATAAATATGATTTAATATGGACAAAAGAAATCCATCGAATATAAATGAACTAGATATGTAAATTTCTCCCTATAATAAATTCTATTAAGCTTCATCATCAATTTATATGCACATTAAATTAAACCAAGAGATACATAAATAATTAATTGTATTCAAAGCTGTAAGATATATAATTCCATACCGAGAATTAATTATTAAACTTCTTGAGATGGTAAGTCATGTGTACTGTATCGTTATTGCTCCCCGAAGCCTTCACGTTCGTCTGTGGTGGCAGATACTTACGCCAGACGCAACCATGGTAGATGACCCGCAAAGAGACGGACGGACGGACGGAGAACTGACGGACGTACGGACGGAGACCTGACAGACGGATGGACGGACGGACGGACGGACGGACGGAGACCTGACAGACGGACGGACGGAGATCTGACAGACGGACGGACGGAGACCTGACAGACGGACGGACGGAGACCTGACAGACGGACGGACGGAGACCTGACAGACGGACGGACGGAGACCTGACAGACGGATGGATGGCGAGGTAACGTGACAACAACGGACACCAAACAGATACCAGTGAGTCAGTCTATTTGTGAATGAGTGAGTGAGTCAGTGAATAAATGAGTCATTCGGTCGGTCAGTCAATCAGTTAATTTGTCAGTTAATCAGAGTCAATATGTGAGAGAATTAATTGTTTCAGTGAATGAGTCAATCTGTTAGTCAGGCAGTTAGTGAATGATTCAACCAGTCACTCACCCAGGCTAGTCATTCATTGAACTAGCAGAAGCACCTGAATAATCTCACAAGCAGAAGCACCTCATTAATCTCACTAGCAGAAGCACCTGAATAATCTCACTAGCAGAAGCACCTGAATAATCTCACTAAAACTAAACGTAAAAAAAAAATATATATATATATATATATAAACACGATAAATTTCTATATACTAGTAATTAAAAAATACACAATTTTATGATACAAGAATTCTATATAAAATACAAATATAACATGAATTTTACGGTACACATATTTTACATTCGAAAATCAAAATAAAAACTACGTAAATGTTTATACAGTTTGAAAAAAAAAGCTACACGAAATATTTAATGGTATATGTATTATGAGTTTGTATTGCAGTATAGCCAACGTTTACGTGGACCAGAAACGTCAAGGGGTGTATTATTGTTATGGCCTAATATTTACGTCAGGGGTACGTCCATTCATTAAAATCTGGTAATAGTGCACAAGTCAGCTGTTCTTAGATGAGGCAACAGTCACTGAATGCCGCATTGATCTGCAGCTCAACTAACTCAACACAGCTAGGGTAGCTACTTATGTATTAGGATATTTAATTTCAAGGTAATAAAATTGCGGTGAAGGTGTGGCTATCGGGGGAGGCTGGAGACCACGTTAAACAAAAAAGTAGTAGTAGTAGTAGTACAGAGGCTCTTATCATTATCATCATTATAAACCGTCATACTGGACCATAACAACAGCTGGTGGACCACAGCACAATATGTCAGCCACGGGAGGGCCAAATAAACCCTGAATTACGACTCTTAAAAATAATAAACGCTGAGCAAACAATAATTTCCTGGGGACTTATATCCTTAGGTCCTTGTGTCCATGTTTGTTGTTTCCTGTTTGATTCTGTCTGTGGGAAGATTTTTCCCTATGGTGTAAGATTGTCTTCATTCTGGTAAGTGTTTGTCTGTGGTGAGAGTTTTCTTCGTGTAATTTACGCAAAAATTAATATGTATCATGCCATAGTCCGCTAAGTTTTTTTTAGATAAAATTTGTCCGTAAAATAAAAAAAAATAGATAACACGTGACCGTGGAGTGAGTGTGTCAGTACTGTACAAGGAACAGTACGGCATCAGCCGCGGTGAGGGCGGCCGGCGTGCGTATGGAAGTGAGTAGCCGGGAATGAATCAGGAGTAGCGGCACGTGCGCGCATGCGACCCCCACCGTAAGCTCACTGGCGCGCCGCTGGCAAAGCGAGTCTGTGGGCCAAACCGGAGGGTCGCGAATCGTGAGGCGTTAGTGTTGCGCCAGCCATCGTAAGCGATGGAGGAGGAACTACGGTGTCCCGTGTGTGTGAATATCTTCACTGAGCCAGTGCTCCTGCCCTGTTTACACGCCTTATGTTTGAAGTGTGCATGTAGTATACAGCGAAGCGTGCAGGCCTTGCTGGCCGAGCCTGTAGCAGGCCAACAGGCAGGGCCCCCGGGCCATGACCCAGACCCTCCTGACGGAGGCGCTGACAGTGATAAAGCCTCCGTGTACAGTGAGACTGACAGCGGCGTGGTGGTGGCCTCACGCCCCACCTCCTACGTCAGTAGCCCGGAGACCACCGTCACTTGTGAAAACAGTGAGGGGCAACAGCAACAGCTGACGGGGCAGCAGCAGGGCGTCAGGTGCCCCGTCTGCCTCAAGGTGTCAGCTCTTGGCCCCGGGGCAGCGGCTGACTTGCCTCGCTATACTGCTATGACACGGATCATCGCCCGTCAGCGTGGCGACCCCGGGGTGGCTGAAGTGCCCCCGGTGGCCCTCCCCGGCAGTAGCGGCACACCCACCACACTGCCGCCCTGCCAGCTGTGTGAGGGCCCGCCCCGCCCCGCCACCACGGAGTGTCAACAGTGCCAGATCCTGTACTGTGGGCCCTGCCTCACCTCCTGCCACCCCCCACGAGGGCCTCTCGCCACTCACACCCTGGGCCCTGTCACTCCCCTGGGGGGCCAGCTCGTCCCTGGTGCTTGCGAAGTGTGCGCGGTCCACGGGGAACGGCCCACCCTCTACTGCCTGGTGTGTCGGTGGTCCGGGTGCCGGGAGTGTGGCCCGGGCCACTCCCAACACGACCTACAGCCACTAGACAACCTCGCCAAAACACATAAGGTAGGACAGTTGGGTGATCACCTTCACAAAATTAGTTGTCATGAAATCAAATTTTTCGTAAAGGGGAACCTGTACGACCCAGACACAAGTACGACCCTCCACTTGGTGATAGTTGTGTATATATTTGTTTATGAAGACACTTGGAACTACAATAAACACCACCACAAGGATAACTGTCTCTGGTATTTACAATATAAAACCATTAACTATCCGCTCTTAAGATCTGTCAACAGTAACGACAAAAATTCGACTAAGATCACAATATTGTTCTTTTATACGAGAGAAACGTCACGTACTACTACTACTACCCACACCGTCAACACCAGCGAGAAGTGTAAACAATGGTGGTCCAGTACAGGAGAATATATGGCCCTCCACAACCATATAATTACCTGTGTTTACCTGTATGAACAAAACCGACACCTTAAGATTAACCACCTTAACACTAACCTAACATCAACACTAATTAGACACTAACTTAACCAAATGATAACTTAACCTAACCAGACGCTAATCTAACCTAACATTAACTTACTCTAACCAAATCTAACACTAACCTAACAGAACCTAACCTAATCTAACCTAATTTAACCTAACCTCACCCTCCCTCTCAGGTAACTCAAAAGGTAATTAATCACCAGGTAAGAATAAACTGGGGTGTCTAATCTTCACGTCACTCTACTGTTTGAATATAGATTTATTTACCCCACACCTATACAGAAAACATTTGCATATGCTAAAGAAAGTTAACCTAAGGACATTACACTGAAACAAGACCAAATAAAATAGTACTGTACTTACCACAATGACTTCTACGTCCTGGATATCCACAGTTTGACCTTGAAATGAGGAAATGATAAATATAGGTTAATAAAGTACAGTTTAAGCAAAGTTTAAGAATAGTACAAAACAAATGAGTAAATAATGGCTAAAAATAAGTGAAAATGTAAACAAAAAAATAAGGAAAATAAACAAAATTGAGAATACATAACAAGAGAATAAATAATATACAAAAATACCTGGAAATAAAAAAAAATATGAAAAACAAAAACACGAAAAACAACAAAAACAAAGGAACTCATTTTTTAGGAGAATACTGACGTGATTTTATTTGTCGACTTTTTTTGGTGTATTTTTTTAATGATAAGTTTTTTTTTATGCTTCAAAGGTGGAGGTTGTAAATAACTATGAAGAATGGGACTAATTTTAGGTGATGAGAGGGAGGTAGTTTGTGTGGTCAGGAACCGTAGTGCCTGTGTGTGTGTGTGTGTGTGTGTGTGTGTGTGTGTGTGTGTGTGTGTGTTTGAAGCCTAGATCCTTACCTTACCTGGATAAATCACGAGGTATGGGTGTTTTTCTTCCCTTGGGATTTAATTCACTGGGAGGAGGAAACACAGGAATGAATTATAGGGAACCTTTTTTTAGGGGAAAGGGAAATAAAGGGGTTTAAATGGACCCTCCTCCTTTAAAATGCATCCTTAAATCATAACCCTGAAATAAACCTTTAAAATATGCCTTTAAATCGTACCTTTAAATAGTACTCCTAGTTCGTGTCTTTAAATTATATCCTTAAAGAATATCGTGTTCTTAAGTTTTAATAAACCTTTTAAATGTCTGGTTTAAATCGTAATCTAAAAGTAAACCATTAACTTCAGCGCTCACAAGATAAAACCACAGCTTAGTCATACACTCACACAGACATACTACACACACACACACACACACACACACACACTGGCCGCCGGTATCGTTTTCACACCGTCACGAGCTGAAGTTGATTAATGTACAGTTATTAATAAAAACTTTTGGGGTGAGAACCGTTCTGGCGAAAAGTTTGAGGGGGGGTGAGGGAGGTAGGGGGAAAGGGGTGAAGGGTACTGGGGACGAAAGAGGGGAGAGGAGGAGGGGTACTGGGGAGGGAAAAAAAGGAAAGGTTTATGGGGTAGGGAAGGAGAGGGAATGAAAGAAGGGTGATGGGAAAGGGAAGGAAGGGATAGGGGAGATGAGGAGAAGATGTTGGATGAGGAAGGGAGAGAAGGAAATGTTTGGCGAAGGAGGAAGAGGCGATAGGAATGAAGGAAACGAAGGAGAAAGTGGAAAGGGAGATTAAGGGGGGGATAAAGGGAGGATGGAGACATTTGAAAAGGGGAAGGGAGAGAGAGTGTGATATCTGGAAAAGAATTGAGAGGCTAAGAAAAGGAGAGAGAGGGGAGAGGAAAGGAGGAAAAGGGGGAGATGGGACGGGGAAAATGAGAGGGGAAATGGAAAGGAGATTAGGAAGGGCAGATGGTAGGTGAGAGAAAAGAACCAGGTGAGAGGGGGGGGTGAGATGATAGGGAGAGAAAGAGAACAGTGGAAATAGAGATAGAGAGTTAAAGGAAGGAAATAGCAAGATAGGAAAACGAAGATGGAAGAGTGGTGGAGGCAAAAGGAAGGATTATAGAGATGGAATGATAGATGAAGAGAGAATTGATGGATAATTAAGGAAAAGGGATAAAATAGAATTAACACGATGGAAGATGACATAGAGAGAGATAATAAATAATGAATGAAATAAAAAGAAGTTTGATGGAAAGTAAACTGAGGAAAATGAAATAGAGAGATGGAATGAAGGGATAGAAATGATAAATAGAGAGCCGGAGAAAGTGGAAGATGAAACCTAAGGGGAGAGAAAATATATTCGTTTGATGGAGAGAGGAATGAAAGGCAGTGAAAGCATAGACGAAAGGCAAGGTTAGTCAAGTAGAAAGTTAGAGGATGAAAGCGGCTGGAGAAGCTGACAGGGAGATAGTGAAAGTTTAGAAAGGGTAATTGGAACTTTGATGTAAGAAAACTAACATCAGAGAGGGAGAGAGTGAAGAAAGTTTTGGTTAGTCAAAGTAATAACTGGGATATTTTCTAAAGGAAAGTAAGATCACAATGAAAGTTTTAGGCCATAGTATGTGAAACTATACCTGGTGGGGGAGAAAAATAAAGTTTTAAATGTAGGGAAAGTAACTTAAAAATATATTATAGTCAAAGTACGGGCAGATAGAAAGTTTCAAGTTAGAAAAAGTTGGTGAAAAGTTTGGGTGCAGAAAGTACAATAAATTCAAGGACATTTTTTTTAAGTACAACGTGAATAATAATATGAAAAGTAATAATAATACTAATAATAATAATAATAATAATAATAATAATAATAATAATAACAACAAATAAAGAAAAACAAAATAAACTACCAGCCCAAAATTTGTGTTGACATCAAAACATATTGCAACATTTTTTTTTTTAGTTAATGAAAGTCCCTCCAGAGAGCATCCACTTGTGCAAACTTGGGGAAGGAGGAGGAGGAGGGGGGGGTAGAGGGAGGGAAGGAGAGAGGAGAGAGGCAACGAGGGAGGGAGGAGGAGAGGGTTACTGTAAATACCAACCTTTTAGAAAGCCTTTTGGGTGGACTAATTTATGCAAAAATATTCAAATGAGGCAATACAGTAAAGTTGATATATAAACATTTATATACATATTATAAATATATATATATATATAAACCAGATAAAATAACCCCCCCAGCTTGTCATTAATAAGTGAAGATCTACCTGACATATACACAGAGGGAAAAGTCATACATACATACATACATACATTACATACATACATACATACATACATACATACATACACCTGTAATACTTCTGGTGATCTGTTTTCAATTACATATAAGCGGCACAGGTATATTATGTATGTATAGGAAATATGTGATTTTTTCTTTCATTCCATTTTTTAATTGGAATGCAAAGGTAATTCTGAAGGGGGGGGAAGGGTCCAGTGATGTTTGAAGTGTGTGATGATGGGTGATGTGTGGTGATGGGTGATGTGTGTTTGTGTGGTGATGGGTGATGTGTGGTGATGGGTGACGTGTGGTGATGATGGTGATGTGTGTTTGTGTGGTGATGGGTGATGTGTGGTGATGGGTGACGTGTGGTGATGGGTGATGTGTGGTGATGGGTGATGTGTGTTTGTGTGGTGATGGGTGATGTGTGGTGATGGGTGACGTGGTGATGGGTGATGTGGTGATGGGTGACGTGTGGTGATGGGTGATGTGTGGTGATGGGTGATGTGTGTTTGTGTGGTGATGGGTGATGTGTGGTGATGGGTGACGTGTGGTGATGGGTGATGTGTGGTGATGGGTGATGTGTGTTTGTGGTGATGGGTGATGTGTGGTGATGGGTGACGTGTGGTGTGATGGGTGATGTGTGTTTGTGTGGTGGGTGATATGTTTGTGTGATGATGGGTGATGTGTGTTTGTGTGGTGATGGGTGATGCGTTTGTGTAGTGACGTGTCGTGATGGGTGACGTGTGTTTGTGTGGTGATGGGTGATGTGTTTGTGTGATGATAGGTGATGTGTGGTGATGGGTGACGTGTGTTTGTGTGGTGGTGGGTGATGTGTTTGTGTGATGATAGGTGATGTGTGGTGATGGGTGACGTGTGTTTGTGTGGTGGTGGGTGATGTGTGGTGATGGGTGACGTGTGTTTACGTGGCGATGGATGACGGATGTAGTAGTTATCAATAATTCAGAGGTACTCCCACACCTCCTCTCTCCGCCTCACACCTGTCGACACCACTACTGATTGATCCACTCTGTGTCTTTGAACAAGTCTCTGTCTGTCTGTCTATATGTCTGTCTGTCTATTGTCTATATGTCTGTCTGTCTATTGTCTATATGTCTGTCTGTCTGTCTGTCTGTCTGTATGTGTGTCTGTCTGTCTGTCCATCTATCTGTCTCATATATTCTAGTGTATGTGATTTCAATAGACACACAAAATCTCTCCGTCTCTCTTATTGTCTCTCCCTTCTCCAATAATCGTCCATTCACCTTCTTTATCCACTCACTCTTCCTCCTCGTCCCCGTCACTACACAGGCGTCAGTGATACACAAATCAGTGATGTGTCTATCCTGCCTTACCCCCCCCAACCCCCCATTCGTCCCTTGAGCCCCCCCATAAATCCTCGTATATGCCCCCCCCCTCCTCTTCTCTCCTCCTTCCCTCCTCTCCTCTCTCTCACTGTTCCTCCTCCTCCTCTCTCTCACTGTTCCCTCCTCCTC